CCCCCACCCACTCCCCCAGCCCCGCCATGTCTGCCCTGACTGCCCCAGCTCCCGGTGCTTTAAAAAAAAGTCCCGACTCACTGGCTGCTGCCTGGCAGGGGGCAGTCTCTGCTGCCCCCCAATGCTCCATGCTGCATTGGGGGCTCTGCCACGAACCCCCAACCCCCTCCTGCTCTCCCAGCCCTGCCCCTGTGGCTGCACTGCCAGCCCCAGCTCTGACCCTTTAAGAAAAAAAACCCAACTCCCCCCGAACTCACCAACCTCTGCAGCGGCCTTGGGGCTTCTGAGGGCTCATACAGAGCCGCTCTCACAGTGCGGGGCAGTGGGGGGCATTGGGGATTGCCCCCTGCCTGCCCGGCAGGAACCAGTGAGACTGCGGGATTTGGGGGGTTTTTTTTCTTAAAGGGTTGGAGCTGGGGCGGGTGGGGCAGCCATGGGGGGAGCTGGGAAAGTGCAGGGAGGTCGGGGGGGCTCGTGGCAGAGCCCCCCATGCAGCGTGGGGACAACGGGGGGCAGTGAGGATCGCCCCCTGCTGGGCAGCACCCAGTGAGTGTGGGCTTGTTTTTTTCCAAGTGCCAGGAGCTGGGGCAGGCGGGGCAGGCATTGCCAGGACTGGGACAGCAGGCGGGGGATGGGGCCTGTGTGATTCGGAGATTTGACTGATTCGGCAGCAGCCGAATCTCCAAATCAGATTTGGCCGAATCAGTTCGGGACAGTGATTTGAATCACCTAATCGAATCACTGTCCCCCAAATCAGCTGAATCCAAATCGAATACTAGCTGCTTCGCACAGTCCTAATATTTAGCTATATGAAAGTGGCAACATGGCAGAACCACTATGGACCTTTTCTGAATGCGAACAACATAAATCTAACGTTTACTTCCTACTACAAAAATGGTATAAATCCAAATATACTTATAGTTTCATAGATTCATAGTTAGTAGGGTTGGAAGGGACCTGAGCAGATCATCAAGTCTGACCCCCTGCCATGGCAGGAAAGAGTATTGGGGTCAAACAACCCCACCAAGGTGTTCATCTAGCTTTCTCTTAAAGACCCCCAGGGTAGAAGCCAGCATCATTTCTCTTGGAAGTTGGTTCCAGATCCTAGCCACCCTGACAGTGAAGTAGCGCCTCCTGATATCTAGCCTGAATCTACCCTCTGCCAGCTTGTGACCATTATTCCTAGTCACTCCTGATAATGCTCGGGGGAACAGGGACTCCCCCAATGCCTGCTGGTCCCCTCTGACTAGTTTGTAACAGGCAACTAGATTCCTCCCTGCA